CTCTCTCTCTCTCTCTCTCTCTCTCTCTCTCTCTCTCTCTCTCTCTCTCTCTCTCTCTCTCTCTCTCTCTCTCTCTCTCTCTCTCTGTGCGTGTGAGCAGACACCTAGAGCTTTGGAGAAAGCATTGGGCATGGGTGCATTCAAACTGCACGGTTTGGACGTGAGCACGACGAAGGCGGTATCGACGACAAAGCTAGTGAAGATGAAGGCCATCAGAGAGCTCAGGGAGCTGCAGAAAGAGGTTCTTGCAGAGAACAGCTATGGCGTGTTCGTCAAATCGCTGCCGGAAAACCTGACATGGACAGAGGTCAAGGAGGCGTTCTCGAGGTTCGGCGAGGTCGAGTCTGTGCGGACGAAGAGCATTCTAGGTTCGCGCCACTGTTTTGTTGAGATGAAGGTACGGCGATTTCCGGTGCTCCTTGCTTGATCTCTTCATCCACTCTGCATGTTTACATGTAGACTGAGCGTCTGGATTTGGATTCAACACGGGTGTGCGTTAAACAATTTAACACACGTTGAATCCGTGCTGAATTGGCGATGAACAGCCAGTTTGACTCGTACCAGCACGACCCGTGGATATTTTTTTCATCGACAAAGAATGGGAAAACACGAAAGTAATGAAACACCATTCAGAAAAAGGAAAAGAAGAAGAAGAAGAAGAATGAGATGAGCTTGAGGCTGCAGGTGGCAAAGGTGTGAAAAATCCTGAAACTTTGATGAGAAATCTGTGAGGATTGAGCCCTCAAGAAGGGGCCTTGTCATGATGTACATGTTCTGGGCTAAGGCCCAAGCAAGCCTCGTGCCCGCCCTAAGTGAAGGCGGGCCAGCAAATCAACAAGAGCCCTCTTTGCAAACATTTCACGAAGTGGGGTCCATACAGTTGCAGCACGCCAGTTGGTTGGAGTGCGCCGAGTATCGGAGCTCTGCAAATGCAGCCACCCAGGGCCCCAGAGTCGGTTAGGCCCTGGGCACGTAAACGTGAGGCCGACAATGCATGCTGGATATAGAGGCCGAAAATGCCAATGGGAAACCGGTCCACTATCTGAATCTGGCCGCAGGCCTTGATGAAAGAGGCGCAACTGCATCTCCTGGGCCCCCAACTGTATCGGGCCTGGGTACAGGTACTGGGGCCCAGGCACAGGCTCAAGGGAGGCCGCCCACACGCAACACTGGCATATAGGCAAGCAGGGCGAGTGGGCAGGGATCTTGGCCATTGCGAGCAAGGCCGGCACGCTGCTGCGTTGCATGTGTGCTGCGCTGCGCTAAGGCTGAGGGACGCAGGCAAGCGCTAAGCGGTAGTGCGCTGCCCTGGCGCAGGGCGCTGGCGGCCATAGCCGGGCTGCCTGTGGGCGTAGAGGAGGAAGGGCAAAGGTGGTTCTTCGGAGGTGAAGGGTGCTGTGTGGGATAACAAGGGAGAGTGTGGGTGAAGAGGGAGACGTACCTGGTGGAGATGGGAGGTCGGCATGGGTGTTGACATCATCACTCGCTGGTCGTCAAGTTGTCTGGTTGCTTTCATACTGTAGTTGTAGTGTTAGGCTGTAGAGTAGGTAGGGCGCCTGGCGCCATTCAAGAGAGAGAGCTACATTGGGTTATGCTGTTGGTGTTGCCCTGTTGGGCTTGGACATTGACTCACGATTCTTCTGTATCGTTCTCAAATGGATGGTTACTCGGTTCCATTGTGCTATCTGCTCTTGCTTTGAATACTTGGACTTCAGTGTGATTTTTGCAAATCTGGATTTCTGTGCTTCGTCCATATTCATGTTCCTTGCAAATCGTGAAAAATGATGAAAAATAGTGGAAAACAAATTATGGGGAAATCATGAAATATCATTGAATACATCGGAAAATTATCAGAAGCTATTCGTCGGAAAATCATAAAGAAAGAATTGAGCCACCAGCACCCATGGGCCTCTCCTTCCGGAGGTGGATTGTGCTGCGCCTCTAGAATAAAACGAAACGGCGCCGCACTTTCTTTTTCTTTTTTTTTTTGGGGGGGGGGGGGATGACGTTGCCAGCTCAAGAGACCAGACGAGTCCCAACCCCTGTAAATGGAGGTCGTACACAAACACTTTGGAACATACGAACAGCATGGCGGCGAGAGGTGCGGGTGGTAAAAAAAAATATTACAAAATGTAAAACAAATTAAATAATTTAAATAACCATGTCAGAATTACAAGTGTCAAAACAATCATCAAAGAGAAAACTGTTTAAATCACTAATTAGCAATCATTAACGATGTCCATTCCGTCAGATGATGACCAGATTCGTGCATTGCCATTGCATAATGTTTTTTTCTGCAGACTGCGGAGGGTTACGATCAGGCTCTGCGTAATGGTTTTGTCGAGTTGGGATCGTCTACGGTCCGGATATATCCGGCCAATCCGCTTAACCAGCCGGCCATCATACGCATCCGAAATGCTTTGCTGACGCCGGAGGAAATTGCCCGCGAATGCAAAAGAATTGCTGTGGTTGAAAAGGTTGAAGTCAGGACTCAAGGGCTTGTCGACGTCTACTTTCAAGTCAAGGACATGGAGGTGGGTGTCCCCCCCCCCTCCTATTTTCTTCCCCCTTTGTTCCCCTATTTTTCACCCTTTTCTTCCCCTTTTTTTCACCCTTTCCCCCCCCTTTTTTTCCCATGTGTTTCCTCTATTTTTATTGAAGATATCGCTAATGAGTACAACCTGAGGAACAGAAGGCCTGTTAAAAACTAATAAAACTTGAAAAGACCAAAAAAAAAACAAAACAAACAACTGGGTTGCCCGGGCGGCGCAGCTGGGTAAGGGCCAGGGAAGGTCGTTGTAAAAAAAAAAAAAAAAAAAAAAACGCAAACTATGTTATGCAGAAAAAAAAAATCAACTTTTGCCTCAAGAAAAAGTGAGTATGTATTTTTAAAAAAATTATTTTTATTTCGTTTTTGTTCATGCCGGGCAAGTGGTCCTGGGCCACTCTAAAACTCAAAAAAAAAAAAAAAAAAAAAAAAAAGTGCTTGCAAGTCGAAACGATGATGTAATTACTTCAACCAAATGCCGGTGATGGACCTGTCGAATGCTGATGATGTGCTGTGTTAAAAAAAAAAAAAAAAAAGGAAAAAAGAAAGCCATCAGTGTTGCACTCCCTGTCGATTGTCAATATACCTTGAAGACCTGCTGGCTTTCGTCTTTGTTTCTGGGTGTCTCCTTGGAAAGACGATTTCCGTGGAGATTCCGTGATGGAGCTGAAGCCGTTGATTGTTGGAACATGCTTACATGGACTGCTGCGACTCTGGTCTTAGTCTCCTTGCTGTTACGAAGGCGGTTTGTGAAATTCCTATTCCTAATTTTGTTGTCGGGTTCGTTAATTTTCTTTGTATTTCACTATTTTTGCGCTGTAGGAATTGCTATGTTTTGCTGTTTTAGGCGTGGTTGTTAACTGTTGCTATTAGGTTAGGCTAAGAGCCTAATTAGTGTTTTCGCTGCAACGTTTCGGTTTTTTATGCCGTACCATACCGAATTGCTTGCTGTTTTGTTTGATAGCTATGGTTTGGGTTTTCGGGTTTCGTGCGTGTTGTGGTGAGAAGAACGTGGGAGTGTCACTTTGCGAAGACCCTGTCATTGTGGGCGGTGGGGGGGGCTTTTAGGGGGTTGATGCTGACTGGGGGAGCAGTTTGCCCTAAATCGTGAGGAGGTGGGTGGGTTTGCAGGATCTTTCGACCCTTGCCGCGTGGGTGGGAGGGCATTTTTCTGTAGGATTGTTAATGTTTTGTGATCGTGTTCATTTTGGCCCAAGTATTTGGGCCTCTTTTCTGTCATCGTTCTTTTGTAGATTGGAGAGCATTGCTCGATAGGATCTTCATCATGGAGGGAGGTGAAGATCCGTGATGGGGGTACAGATTACCCTAAATCGCGAGGAGGCGGGTGGGTTTTGCGGGGCCTTTGGCCCCTGCCGCGTGGGTGGTAGGGTATTTCTGAGGGTTTGCTGATAGACCATCATGGAGGGAGTTGGTGTTTTACGGAAGGCAACGTGGGGGGTGGAGTGATCTGCTTTGAATCGCGAGGAGGTGGGCGGGAGTGGGTTTGCGGCGTCTGTGGTCCCGGATCCCTGCTGCGCGGGTGGCAGGGTGGATGTGCAGGGTTGGGTGATATCCAAGGGTGATAGGCTTTGCTTTTGTAGGGTCTGTTTTCGCTGTTTTTTCTTTAGGTCATTTGCATGGAATGGATTGTAGGGTTTGCTGTTCACATCGGGATCGTTGCCCTTTTCTATGATGTGAGGGACGCCGGACCCGTTTTCATGTTTTTATAATTCAAAAGCGGCTGTCGTATGAACCAGGCCGGAGTGCCTGGATCATACGACATTGGCTGCCTTTAAGTTAATAATAAAAAATAAAAATAAAAAAATAATTGCGGTCAGATACATCCAGAATTGGCTGTGATTGCAGCCTGAGGAAAGTCCTTTTGTGAGTCCTCTCTCATTCATTCATTCATGATATATATATATATACCGTTTACCGGGCAGTTCTGTTTGTGACGATATATATGGCCTAGTTCTTGAGTCCTTTTCATTCGAAATTTTAATGAACTTTTGTTTTCTTTTCTTTTCATTGTTTCTTACTGACCAGGAGCTTCATGAAGTTGTTTGGAGATTGAATATGAAAACATCGAAAGGGCGGAAATGGAAGGCTTTCATCCACCCCTTGATGTCGGGGCAGGGGCGCAAACGAATGGAAGTAGCGCAGAAGGTTCTGATGGCGATAGAGAGGCAGTTACGAGTGTTGTCCGTCTCCATCGCTGACCTAAAAGAGCTCCTCAATCAGCCTGGCAGAAGCTCGTGATAGGAAGGCGTGCAGTGCAATAAGCCGCGCAGCTTTCGTCTTTTTTTTTTTCTTGATATTTTTCAGGAAATTTCCACTCCTTCAGTTTAATCGGGTTCAAAAATTTGTTCGAGCATATTGCTGATTTTTTTCCGGCCAGCTTCCTGTGTCAGTTTTTTCTTCTTCTTGTTCTCTCTCTCTCTCTCGCGTGCGCTCTCCCTCTCAGTTTTGTCACTTTTGTGTCTGAACTCTAAAGCCTGTTAGTAGGAATTCTTTTTAAACTTTTTTGACTTTTTTCTCTTTGCACAAAGGGGAAATGCGACGGGGGATTT